GCTTGGGGAAGAGCGCGCGCGATCTGCAGCTGTTGACAAAAGGGGTAGATGAGAGCACGTGGAGGGGAAGGGGAGGCGCTCTGGGGAGAGACGCGCGGGATCCTGAGCTTGGCTCCGGGCGGTCGTGGTTTAGCGGCCTGGAGGCGGGGCCTGAGGCGTAGGGGCGTGGCTTAGCAAATAGCTGCTTTGGGATTGGCTGGGGGGTACCCCCCGGGGGTGGGACGGGAGTCCCGGACTGACGGAGTACGGTCCCCGCGTGGCAGGTGTGAGCAGCAGCAGGGAAAATGGCAAGGTGTGGAGCGTGGGGAGCACCGTGAGGTTTCGTGTAGACCGCAAGGACGACGGCGGTATCGTCATCTGCGAGGCGCAGAACCAGGCGCTGCCCTCGGGACACAGCAAGCAGACGCAGTACGTGCTGGACGTGCAGTGTAAGTGACCCGGCGGGGCGGGGGGGCCCAACGCCAGCTGCCTGGCCCCGGGAAGGCTCCTTACCCCGCGTCATGGCCCTGACAACCACTCTCCCGTCTCACTTCTGCCTACAGACTCCCCCACAGCCCGGATCCATGCCTCCCAAGCTGTGGTGAGGGAGGGAGACACGCTGGTGCTGACGTGCGCTGTGACCGGGAACCCCCGGTGAGCTCTGGGGCCCGAGACTCCTGGGAGGAAAGCCTTGTAGGGACCCTCTTATTCGAAGATGCTGCATATCTAGATTCCTGAGGAGTTAGAATTGGGTGCTGGCACCTGCGTCCCTAACTCTAATTGTCCTTTACCCCGGTCCAGGCCAAATCAGATCCGCTGGAACCGCGGGAATGAGTCTTTGCCGGAGCGGGCGGAGGCGGCCGGGGAGACGCTCACGCTGCCCGACCTGGCATCCGCGGATAATGGCACGTACTCTTGCGAGGCGTCGAACAAGCACGGCCACGCGAGGGCGCTCTATGTGCTGGTGGTCTACGGTGAGTGTAGGCAGCGCGGGCCTGGGGGCGGGGCTCAGGGCAGGGGAGGGGCCTTCTGGGGTCACTTTCTTGTCCTGGGTGGGCGGGGCACGTGCAAAGTGATTCCAGGAGGCCAACAGTGCACAAAGTTCTTACAATTCTGGGGCCAGACTGACCGTCTGGGTTCCAATTTGGCTCTGCAACGTCCTACTGCGGGTGACATAGTCTGCTCCTTAGTTTCCTCATGGGTAAAGTGGAAATTAACAATAGCACCTCTTTCAGGGTTTGTGAAGATTATATGAGCTAAATATATAAAGTGGTTGGAATGGCCCCTAGCAAAAAATAAGTGCTACGTGTTTAGCTCTATGACGATGCAGCAGGAATTTTGTAAGTGTTTGGGCCCTAGCTAGCATTTTAAATACCTGGAGCATTTTAGACAAGATATGTTAAGGGACTTGGACATGAGGTTCCATGGGGGAAGAGTCCAAAGAAAAGGGTTGTGCTGTTTCTTTTCTCTGGGGGTGGGGTGAGGAAGGGAGGGAGGGCAGGTATTAGGGAAATGACTCAGGGGCCTGTGGGCAGCATACAAACCAACAGGCATTCCCTGAGGAAGTGGAGCATCAGGAAAGAGGGAGCGTTGAGAAAGGCCCACGAGGTGGCAGTAATTTGAGGGGCATCGTACGTTAAGGGGCGAGGTTAGAGGTGGTGGGTGGAATGCTTTAACAGGTTGGCAGCGATGGGCCGGGCTAGGACCGTCCTCTGATGACCTGGTCCTGCGCCCTGTTCCTCTGGCAGACCCCGGCGCGGTGGTAGAGGCTCAGACGTCGGTGCCCTACGCCATTGTGGGCGGCATCCTGGCACTACTGGTGTTTCTGATCATATGTGTGCTGGTGGGCATGGTCTGGTGCTCGGTACGGCAGAAGGGTGAGTGGGGGCGGGGTCTGAATTCCGCTAGGGGTGTAGTTGGTCGTGAGATTGGCAAGGGGGCGGGACCTAGAGACTGAATTCCCAAGAGGGCGGAGCCTAGACCCAGGATTCGAAACCCCGCGGGACCTGAAGCCAATACTCCAGAAGGGGCGGGTGTTTCGCCCAGGACTAAAAGGGGTGAACCGCTGAAGCTGAATTAAGGCAGTGGGTTTGAATTAAACGATTCATCTTCCTAATTGCTGGACTCGTTGGGAACAGAGCAAGGGGATATCACCAAGAGAACAGAGAAAGGTTGATCTTTCTGTGAACTTTTGGCGTCTTCCTAATTCTGCTTTACCTCTTTCTCTGCCCATTTTGCTATTCCCTGGTCTTGATTCCCTCTCCCTGTGTTCTGTTTCTCCCTCTTCCTTCATCTGATATGTCTTGTCTGTCTCCTCCTTCCTGTAAATTTCTGTCCAACTCCTGGGTCAACCCTCAGGCTCCTATCTCACCCACGAGGCCAGTGGTTTGGATGAGCAGGGAGAAGCAAGAGAAGCCTTCCTCAATGGCAGCGATGGACACAAGAGGAAAGAAGAATTCTTCATCTGACCCCAACTGTACTCCAGGCCTGAGCCTGGGCTGGGGTCCACCCCACTGCCAGCTGCAAAGACATTTACCAGAGTCTGGGATGGTGGGCATCTCCCCCCACCACTAACACCTCAGACGTTTGGGCAGGGATGGGGGTATCAGATGCCTGGGTCTCTGCAAGGGCCAGGAGCAAGGTCCCAGAGGTCTGGGTCCCCCAGGGGGCAGGGGCCAAAGGTCCAGATCCCCCAAGTCCAGGGAGGGCGGTAGGGATTGGGTTGGGGGAAGATAACTGGGGGAAGGCCAGGGCCCCTAGGCTGCAGAACCAGGTCTTGTGGGGAGGGGATCAGATTCTGGGAAGGGTGGGGTGGGCAGGGAAGGGAAACACAGATTTCTTTGGGGGTCCCAGACCCCATGCCAGCCATTGTAGGAGTTCCACAGAGCTCTGGGCACCTCTTTGCAAAGCCATGTTTGCAC